CGCCGCGCCCGCGGGGGGCCCGGGGCCGCCGCCCCCGAAGCCCGCCCCCTCCCCCGAGGCCCCGAGTGGGAAGTGGAGGCACGAGCGGCCCGGAGACCAGAGAAGGGAGGCTTCGAGGGGGAGAGCGCAGAGGAGAGCGAGGAGGCGGAAGGCGCGGGCCAGCCGCCCGCACCCTTGGGGGCCACGAGTAGGACCAGGCGGTTCGTGTCTGAGGCTCGCTTCGTGGAGACGCTGCTGGTGGCCGACGCGTCCATGGCTGCCTTCTACGGCTCCGACCTGCAGGTAGGACCCCAGAGCCCCGTCCTTCGCCCCCCCCCCATGCCTCCCAGCGTCCTCCAATTCCCCTTCCCATCCCTCTGAAGAGAGCCCTTCCCCTTCCTCCCACGCCCGACCTGACCCGCGCCTTTCCTCTGAGAGCACCGGGCTCCATCCGGATTTCTGCAGCCCACCTCCACCCCGACCCCAGCCCTGCGGGCTCACAGCGGAGGTCTCTCCGCCCGCCCACCCCTCTCACCCGGGATCCCCAGCAGCACGTGGCAAACTGAACTGAAAGTGGGTTTGAACCAGTCCCGGGCACCTGCCTCTCCCAACAGAGTTGAAAACTGAACTTTTCAGAAAGCGGCCGCCCCTGCCCCCAGGTCCTCAGCCCTCTGCGGCTCCAATCTGAGAGGCTCCAGGGGAAAGGCAGCTGGAATGGAAAGAGATGGCTATTGGATTCCCTTCGGGTACAGAACCGAGGTTTCCATAAGGAGAGGACTGTGGAGGGAGCTGAACCTGGAGGGGGCTGCCCAACTTCTGTGCGCCCAGCTGGTTCTGATCAAGGGGCATGGGCTACCTTGCCAACCTGGCTGTCAGCCCCGGCAGAACTTGGCAGTGCCAGCATCCAGCACCAGAAGGGAGGGGAGAAATTTCTGCCTGGGGGCTCCGCGGGGAAACTGAAGCTTCAGTGGAAAGGGGCGGGAGAAGGTGGGGGTGAGCTCTTACAGTTAGCGTGGCTGGTGGAGCCAGAATTGGGCGCCGTCCACAGGACAACTGCCCGAAGCCCAGGCACAAGGCTCAACCAGGCAGGGGCAGGACACTGGAGCCAGGGGTCTCTTAACTAGATACAAAGACGATGCAGTAGGCAAAGCCCCAACACCTCCCTCAAAGACCAGATGAAGGGCTCCCTGGAGGAAAAGAGGACGAGGCTTCCAGGAGAGGTCCGCCTGTCTCTCGCCGTACAGAGCACAGAGCCAGCGTTCAGCCAGGTGGAGAACAAACCTGCCCAGGGCTCCTGGTTCCCTCAGGCAGTGAGAGTGAACACCTTGGCAGTGGTGCCTTCCTTGTCCAGGACCCCTTTCTAGGCTCAGCCCGTGCTCGACTGTTGGGAGCACCCAGAACAGAGGCACCCCCTGTGCAGACAGGGCACAGCCAGCCCTCTGTTCTCACCCGATCTTTCCCGCCGTCCTGTCCCTGGGAAGTACAGGGTGGGGAAGGTCAGGTGGGGAGTGGATGGGTAGGATGCAGGCAGTCCTCAGACTGTTCCTCTGAGTACTGGGGCTGCTGGACCCCAGACAGGCTCCCTGCACACTCCTGCCACCGCACTCCAAAGCGGCTCTGAGCCAGGGCAGCCTTCCTGCTAGCTCCAGGTCACTGTGGACTTGACATTTGTGTCCCTGCTACTCTGAGAGCAGGGGGAGGTGCCCAGGGAGAGGGTGGCAGGAGCGGGGGGAGGAGAGGGTTTCTCTGGTCTCCTTGGCACTATCTCCCCTGGCTCCTGGGGCTTCCCTGAAAGCAGCTCAGAGGTACTCATTGCAGCTCTGTGCAGACCATGTGGGCTGTCCACTGAGAACCAAAACTCAAGGAAGCCCACGGGAACACGGGGAGGCAGCAGCGGGTCAAGTTTTCACTTCAGGGCCACCGTGCCCCGAGCGCTTCCCATTCCACCCCCTCCGGTTCCCCCCAGCACTGGAGGGGCTGAGTGTCTGCTTGGAGACGGTGCTGGGCTTCTGCAGGTGTCGCAGCTGCCTCAGGTTCCTGGCCACGTGCAGGAGCTGGGCTGGGTTCACACCAGCTCTGGGCCTTCACTCGAGGTCCAGGTTTGCAGCCCCAGACAAAGGCTTTCTCTGTCACAGTCACCAGACACTTTTGTCCTCACGGGCCTCCTGGCTGGACAGCCTGGCTGCTCCCTTCTACACACACACACACACTCACGCGCATTTCTGACCATTCACAGCCACCTATGGGCACCCCCACAGCCCACGTGGACCAGAGAATGGGCCGCTGTGAAGGCCGTGCGCCTCTCCCTACCTCTAGGGCTCAGGGACCAGCCCACCACCTGCTCTTACTCCCCAGCCCACTAGCCTCTCTGCTCCGATGAGCGGCAGCTGGGGAGATGCCACAGGACTGGCTTGAACTTTCCAGCTCAATCCCCTGGACTTCCTAAAACAGGTCTGTGGGTTCAGCCAGGAAGCGAGAGAACCAAGCCCTGGTGCAATGAGCCTTGTCTGCCTAGACCACACTCCCAAGAGCAGCCCGTTCTCTGCACGGAACTGCGCGGGGAGTCTCCCAGAGACTGCATTCACACAGACCAAAGGCATTTCGGGATGTCTTTGTAATCGGGGGAACCATCAGGGCTCAAGGGCTTAGAGTTCCCCGCCTTGAAGCAGGACTCCCGACCTAGGTTGCCGGATCCAGCCTAAGCTGAGCGAGGCTGCCCCTGGAGAGCCAGTCTCCTAGAGGGCTCAGTCACTCCGCTGAGTACAGAGCGGCTCATACACGTCAGCTCCGTGGAAACCATGAGGGGCAACTGTAGCATGTGCAGCTCATGGGCCAAGCGACTCTCCTGTCACTCCACAGTAAGCAGCACCGCTGGGTCTGCAGCCCCCATCTCCCAGACCTGGCCAGCGCTGTGTCATACTGCCACCTCTGCACGAGGTCTGGCTGCATGCCCACCGACGCCAGTCTCGGGGGGCTAAGAATGAGCCGGTAACTGTAGTGGCCTGAAGGCGTCCAGCCTAAGTGTGCGGCCCCCCCAGAGAGAAAGCCGCCTCCCGGGTGGAGAGAAAGCATCAGCCATGCTCCAGGCAGGTCTCCTGCTGAGTGACAGTGAAGTCGTCCAGGACTGTGTGCATCGGAGCCCACTTAATCCCTTCACAAAAGGGGCCCCTGCCTCCCACCCTCTTATCTGGTTTCGGAGTTAAGGAGCTCAGACAAAGAAGGCTCTCGGAAAGCAGCGACCACCTTGGGAGAGTCCATTAACTCTGTCCACATCCGGCCACTTCTCACCATCCCCGAGAGGCCCCTGGAGCAGGGCAGAGTGTGCGGCGGCTAAGCAGCGCTCCCCACTCCGCCTGGGAAGTCTGTCCCCGGCCTTTGGGCACTAGTTCTGTTCTCAGCAGAAGGGCCTGCAGTGACAGGAGCCTTCCCCAAAGCAGAACAGCGGCTCCCAGACTTTCAGCCCCTGGGGCAGGCTTCAGGGAATGGCTGTCACACCACCTCCCCCTGTACCTCATCTACGTTTTCTGGGGGGAGATGTCTCCCACAAAATTCCGAATTCTAAAGTAGCCACACCGCCTAATTTGTCCAGCTCAGACCCAGCCTCTCCCTGCTTAGACCTATTATCAGTGCCTTCTTCCGAGTCGCGAGCATCCGGGTTTGATAACAGAAACAGACGCGCACCTCCCCCCAGCTCCGCAGGACCCAGGTCACCATGGGCGAAAGCATTGTGTGTGCGTGGATTTTGTTCTTCCCACAGGGAACGAGCTGAGTCTTT